ACCAAGATTGTAGCAACTGAAACACATGAAAGCTGAAAACATTGCTATTTTTCCTACTCACAAATTTCCCGACAATTTATTAGAAAATTTCTGACGGGGAGGGGTCATAAATTATTTCGGGGGGGTCATATGCCCGCCTGCGAAACTCTGTGTCTCCACCACTGTTTTCAGACTATTTTTGGCACCTCAGCCTGGTTGAAAAACTTTGTTGGGGGTGACATTGTGTCACCCCTCCTGTGCTGGCACCCGGGGAGGTCCGCTCCCCTCGCTCCCCCTTAGCTGCGCCACTGACTGAGCCCTTTTTTAAATTGATGTTATGAACGTTTGAATTTTATTCTTTTCGTTCTTTTATATATATATATATATATGTAAGCAAATATATGGATATAGATCCGACAGTATGAAGAAAATATACAGAAAAAACAAACAAAAATCTTAATGAAAAGACGATGGACATAAGACCACAACTTATAACATCAAAGCTTGTACGAAAATATAAGAATCTATTGATCTCTGCCTATTACTGTAAGTAAGGAAAGGATTTATTAACGAACTATTTTAAAATTGCTCCATCGTGCCTATTATAATATTTTGAAATCATTTTTGATTTGCTTTGTAACGTGGAGGACTTCAAGCTTGTATGAAGATATAAGAACCTATTGATCTCTGCGTATTCCTATATCAACGGAAGGGATGATTTCTTGAACTCTTTATATAAAATAGTTCAATCGACCTTTTTTAATATTTTGAAATCATCTTCGAATACGTTTTCACAACATCGCCCACGTGACGACGACGTGATCTTATTTAAACGGAACGCTGATCTTATATAAAAATTTCATATTTCTCATATAAAAATTTAGTTGTGCTCTTATGTCCATCGTCTTTTCATGTTGAATTCTATATGTTCTAATGTTAATTATGTTTAATGAATGTCCTGATGATGGTCTAAAATAGACCGAAACGTCCGACGTTGACTTTACATTAATACAGCATAATTGCATATTAAGATTTTTGTTTATTTTTTCTGTATATTTTCTTCATATATATATATATATATATATATGAAGAAAAATTTTGAAAAAACAAACAAAATCCTTAAATGTTGTTTAAAATGAATGAAATGTCGACGTCTGACGTTTCGGTTTAATCAACCTTTTTCAAGACAATATTCATTAAAATACAATACAGTTGAATATGATGGACATAAAAAACACAAGTCTTATCCAAAACCATTTTTATGTCCATCATATTCAACTGTATTGTATTTTAATGAATATTGTCTTGAAAAAGGTTGATTAAACCGAAACGTCAGACGTCGACATTTCATTCATTTTAAACAACATTTAAGGATTTTGTTTGTTTTTTCAAAATTTTTCTTCATTCTGTCGGATTTATATCCATTTACACTTGCTTATATATATATATATATATATATATATATATATATATAACTACTACTTTTATATGCGAATTATTGTATATAGATACTTTTATCTCTGATAATAATTTGTATGCTTGCTTATCGTTTGCGTGTGCGTGTGACAGTTTGGGGATGTTCGTTAGTGGTTACGTCAGCGCCAATATACCTATGAATTAAATGCTTGCGTGAATGAGTAATGGTTATGACTAAAATAAAAATGAATCTCTCCTTTCTTCATCAGCAGAGAAATATTCTCACGAAACAAGGTTTCTTTAACGTGATTTTCCCAGCCGGACATTTTTTTTTTGAAAGGCCTCCTCTTTCGTTGGCGGCCGATCGTCTGTCGTCTGCTTCCTAAGTCCTCTTGCCACACTTTTCCATTCCCAGCCTTTTGTCGTTTCAAGCGTGTCTCACCATTTAAATATGGAACATCAACAACAACAGTAATAATAAACAACTTTAGAAAATATGGCCTTCAACGATAGGTCGCTTCACGGTTTCTGGTTATTTTCAAAACAGACTGAATGGTGTCGCCATGTGAAAAAAAAAACTTCTTTTTAAAAAATGGCCTCTTTCTTTCTTTTTATTCGCTTTCTCATCAGATTCTATTCTATTTTGAAATGAAATTAATCAACTTCAAGTTCCTGCGATACGAGTTTAGTTTGTCACTTAGGTGTTGTTTTTTTTTATATTACAGACTTCCAAACGAGTATTAAGCGCCTCGCCGTAAGGCAACAGTTAGCGAGCTAATACAATAGTAATGTCCCATTACTGTTTCTAGGCATCCTACATTTGTGAATTTGTATTCGACTAATAATTAATATTTATGGATTTAATATCATTATGGTTTTCACAAAAAACATTTCTCCGGTGCCTGTCTTATGATTCTATGCAAGTCTGTAAAGACTAATCATTGTAGGTAGGGACAACGGCGTTCTATACTATGAGTCTACTCATGGTACAACTAAGGTCCAGAACTGGAGACCTATTTCAAGATGTTTGAATTTCAGAAATTTAAAGAGAAAAGTTAAGTCTTTTTGAAAATCTTTTTAGTTACATTTAAACTCATACTTAGGGAATGTGTTGAAAGTATGAATAAATTTAAATATGTATTTTTGGTGTAACGACCGGCGAATATTAAACAAAAGGACGCCATTTCAGGCAACAGATATTATCCATATAATGTTGGAATTTTGTTGAAAAAAAAATCCTTATTTTTCACGTTTTGTTAACAAGTGTGTACGAAATGTGTTCGAATTAATTATCAACCTTAAAACTGTTTTAATGAAACAGAAACTATATCAGAACTATACATTCTGGAACAGAAAACATTAGCTTCGCCAGAAAGTCCTAACTCACTTAGGAAGCGAAAAGAAAACAACAAATCTTGATCTGTCTGGTAGAATTTCTAAAGAGTACTGCATTTCGAGGTTGTTCCACACGGTCGCACCATCAACGCTAAACTGTATTTCCACCAGTTAGACAGCGTGTACGAGAAACTAAAGGAGTATTCTGCTTTGGTCAGTGGAGGTCGGGCTTTGTTACAGCAATACAATGAAAGGCTATACACTGCCAGGTTGACTAAGGAGAAGTTGAAACAGATCGACGGTGTTGAGATTCTTCCACATCCACCATTCAGTCCCGATGCTGCTCCGAGTGACTATGGCTTATTCCTCCTCAATGGCACACTTCCTCCGCGACCAGCGATTCAACACTTTTGATGAAGTAAAGGAAGCTTGTTTACAGTATTTTGGTTCAAAGCCAGCGGACGGGTATCTGGGACAGATTCGGATGCTGTCTAATCGCTGACAGAATATCGTCCAGAATGATGCACTTTATTTTGAAGAATAAATATTGGCGTTGCTCCATAACATTTTCTTGTTTTCTTTCCGTTTCCTAAGTGAGTCAACACTTTCTGGCCAACTCAATGTAACATGAAACAAAATAAGCAGGAAAATAATTTTGGCAAATATGGACATCCGTATACGCAAAATAAACCACGTGTCAAAAGTACGGTTTTTCCCATGATGCCGCTTTTATTTAACTACTCTTCGGCGATGTTTATTGTTTTAAAAAAAGCGACGATTATTATTGTAAAACATAAACATATGAAATGAATTTATACAGAAGGCGATGGGGAAATTGTAGCCATTTTATATTTTATTTCGTGAATGCGCGTTTTTTTATTTTGTCGACTGCACAGTATAGTAGGGTCACCGTCTGTGAGAAAAAGAGCACAATGGCGCATTTCACTCCGCCAGAAATTTGAAAACGGCACTGTGTACTGCTTGGCATTCGCACCTGAAGCTTCAATACGAACATTTCAGTGTTTGGGTGCCAACCTGTGAACAGTAGAGAGTTGGATGATATATCCAGTCAACGTCATGGTGTTTGGAGTGATCACTAGTGATGGCAACGTTATACCTTCATTCATTTTCCCACAGGGCCACAGACTCAACACTGAGGCCTACATCAAGTGCCTTGAGGTGGTAGTGCTGCCATGGGTCAAGAGGACGGCTGCTGGAAGACCTTATGCCAGGCAACAGGACCCTGCACCATCCCACACAAGCAGGAGAACCCAGTCGTGTCTGCAACCACATCAACACTTACATTTTGGTAAATACATCTGTTAAAATGAGATGTCAAGTGTTATTTTCCTTTTTGTGTTATTTAGACAACAATTTATCCATCACCCCCTATACATTTTTATTCTTGAGAAATTTCAACAAAAAAATTTTAAAATATTTGACTGTTTATTATAATTCTGTATTTACATTATAAAAACTAATATTATTTACCGATATATAAAGAAATAAAAAGGAAAACAACTTTTTATTCATAAATTTATAAATATTTACTAAATTATTAAAATACTAACCGAATTATCCACATCTTTCTGGATGTTACACATTTTTTGTAAGAAAATAATTGATTTTAAATCATTTATTATTTATAATTTGTGGAGAAAAATGATACATTTCAATATTACTCCTTGCTGATGTGACCTCCATCTTCTCGCTTAATCCTTCTATATTTTAGATAAGAGTCATTCCTTTGTTCAAATTTAAATTAAATCAAAGGAAAAAATATTTTCCGTGAGGGATTTGTGCAAAAACAGTTTGATCTGGTTCTCTTGATATGTATTTGATGCAATACTTGATTGAATGAATTGATAAGCAGATTTCAATATTGATATAACAGTTGAATTGTCACAACAAATATGTATTGTAAGGCACTACCTACTGATTGGTGATTTCTGGATCAACTTGACGTCCATATTGTCTCATTTTGATCTTGCCGATGTGACCTCCACCTTCTGGCTTTTTCCTATATTTCGGATAGGAGTCATTCTCTTGTTTAAATTTAATTTAAACCAAAGGGAAAAAAAATTTCAATGACCCCCTTTGATCAAAATGAAATATGCTTATCCAAGTACCCTGGGTAATGTAGTTTCAGAACTATGAGGATTTCGATAACAGCCAGAGGCTACAACTTTATATATAGAGATGTGAACCAACTATAAGGAAATCCTTATTATTTACCATTTTATAAAGTCCAAACCAATTAGCGACTTACAACCACATCGCATTGAAAACATTCCCATTCGATCATCAAAGTTAAGCAACATCGAGCATGGTCAGTAACTAGATGAGTGACCATTTGGGAATATTAGGTGCTGTAAGCTTGGATGTGTGGGTGATGCGATGACTAATGACTCAAAATTGTTAATCGGAGAACCAAGTTTCAATTTCAGTTGGGTTTATTTGTATTCACTTACACGCAAATACCCTTGAAAAAGGTATGAATCCTCATTTTCTCTCCCAACTTTGGGTTAATTAGTATGTCTTGTATCACTAAATCATAATCCCCACCACCACCACCAAATTAAAATCTAAAAATATTTTCTGGCTTTAAATAACCTGTAACGGGTTGATAAACCGTAGAAAATGAATCACTCAATTAACTGTTGTTTTGCCAACCATTCAAATATTGTAAATAAACAATCTAATGATGTTTATGTGACTTCTCAAGAACAAAGAAAATGTATAAATTCACTTTTATGTTTAGGCTTTATTACAATTCTAATCATCGCTTTTTAAAAGAATAAACATTGTCGATGGAGTGAAGGCTGTTAAAATGAAAGTGGTATCATGGGAAAAACCTGTTTTTTGTTTTTGTTTTGTCGGCACAACAAGTCTATTTTAGCCGCCATTTTATTTTAATGTTTAAAATTGAAGTAATTGCTGTTATGCTATTATTTTGTCATCAAGATATTTTTATGATTAAAGAAGTACTTGGAAAAAAATGCCCCATAAAAAATGGAGTATTGTTACCAAAACGAGGTTGGAATTGCTCAATCCTCACTTTCCAGTCTTGATAAGAGTTCAAAATCGCTTACATGACCTTCTAGAGAAAGAATTATTCAACATTCTGTAGCTCCTTTTTCTCCAATAATGCAATGTAGCAAGTTTATCATTATTCTATTGCTATTGCCATGGCAAACGTTCAGAAGTTCCAACCTTTACATATATGACATGCCATGTTACTTTCATAGAATCAAATCACCTTCATTTTACTCCATATTCCAAATGTAAGGTGAAAATTCCACTAAGAAAGCTTTGACCCCAACAACTGCTACTTTGTGCAAGAGGCTCCCACGTGGATGCTTCCCTGAACATTACAATTTTAGCCTCTTCAAGCAAGCAGTTGTTTCACTTCCTAGCACCACCTCCTTCATTCATATCACATACCTCATTCATTATAACAATAACTCTCTACCTTGAGTGGCCATCGAGCCTTGTTTTAATATTAAAAAGACTCAATGAATATGAGAATTTATCAGTCTTTCCCCGTCACTTCCTCCATGACATTTTAATCATGTACCCTCCTTCCACAGGAGGCTTCTGTTCTGGAATGTTATCAAATCTTCTTCCCCCTGGAGCACAGGTAACTCTTCTCATGCTAGTTATATCTTACCTTTGCACTAAATTCGTAATCTCCTACTGAACTTTGCACATGTTCCCATCACTTATTCCTACATGATTAATGGTTTCACATGTTATTAATTACTATGCTTGATCTGCTGATTGAGTTATCAGGTTCTTTCAACCTTCTTCAGATTATTTTTAATTCCTTTCATAAAAGGTTTATATACCACCCAACATAGTCAACCATAATGTATAATAAAAAAAAAGTAATAAATAAACCCAACCACATGTAGTAATGTACTTAGACCAAAATCATCATTGTTCTTCAGGATGATGCAATTTTATTTTCAGCCACTCTCTCTCATAAACACATATATATATATATATATATATATATTTCTGAAGAAAGGTTGAGGTCGATCTGAAATATCAAAACTACATATAAAAAAAATATGAATAAATACTTTCATAAAAAAACATTATTTTTTAATTTGCAACTTTTTAGTTGTTTTATATATATATATATATATATATATATATATATATATATATATTTTTTTATATTATATATACATGGTACTTATTGGAAAGCACTCAATATCAGTGATGGAGCTAACATATTTAGTTGGATTGATGTGAGTTTGTGACCCTGGGTTTCATGCTCTCTGTGATCGTCAGACAAACTGATTAATTTTTAAATTTTAGATTTATTAATCAGTTTTCTGACGATCACGGAGAGAGTGAAACCCAGGGTCGCAAACTCACATCAATCCAGCTAATATATATATATATTTATATAAAAGACTAAGTCCCACTCCTTTGTTTATTCCTCGTATCATTGAAAAAGAACACAGGTGTGTTAAAAAATTCCAACTTTTATCTCTTCAGGTTTCAATTCAGTCAAAAGGTTAATGTATTTGTTGGCTCTTTATTTTTCAAATTTTATTAACCTGCTTATTAAAAATTATATATGAACATAAAATGGACTTAAAAACACCACCATATATATATATATATATATATATATATATATATATATAAGGTGGTGGTTTTTAAGTCCATTTTATGTTCATATTCTTTTCCTTAAATGTTGGTGTTTTGCAATGCATTTGTGTGCTACCAAAATCATCATGATCCCAATTTTGAACAGGAAAAGTTTTTAATAAAACAAGCTTAATTTACTTAGACAGGGATGTATTGAAAGTGCCATGATCTAGAAGTACCCTACAATTAAAATAGAACCAGACTATTTTAAATTAGGGCTGAAACAATGGGGGATATGTAAATCTTGTAAAATAAATCAAGTTGAAACAAGCTAAGTCTAATTTCTATAACAACATATAGGATTAAAAGTTAAACAATCCAAATGAGATAACACATCTTAAAAAACAATTACTTATTTTACAAAATGGTTGTGTTCTTTTGTACTAGCAATGGAAACTTGGAAATGTTTGCACAAATGTGTGCTTATATTCTATAAATTGATATTCATTTAAATTATCATAATACATTCATTAGATATTCAGTTGTTCATGGTTGATTTCTTTGAAAGCAAAACGGTTTTAAAAACAAAATGAAAACTTTCTCTTTTCAATTTCCTCGATACAGATGTTACATTAAAAAAATATTTGACAGCAAAGAAATTAAAATCACAGAAAAAAAAAAAAAAAAAAATGATTTCATATATCAGATATTTTTATTAAAAAACTTGAGCCATTTTTTTTTTTTTTTTTTTTAATAAAGCAAACAGAACAGCCAATTTACAAAAATGTTTGCGTAAGGCACCTGAAATTGCAACCTCCTTTTTTTACAATTGATTTCCTTCTAATTAATTACAAAGGACTTCTAATGGATTTCCAATGAAGCCTTCATTTATTTCACTCATGTTTGGCACACACAAAATTCATGGTAAATGTAAATTTATGCAAATAATAACTTTACAACATGAATAACAAAAAGGAAAATCATAAAAAATAAATAAAAATTAATCCATTTATGATTTGAATCAAGATTTTCATTAAAAGAAAGAAAAAGTTTAATCACATTTCATTTTCTTTTTCATGAAAATGGTTTTAACCAAAGTTTAACACTCAAGGCTTTTCTCCTTGTCCTTTTTTAAGCTGAGGTAGCTTTACGGGGATTCTCATAGATTCTGTTCAATAGTAGTTATGATTGATCAATTACTATTTTTGTTTACAAGAATTGGAATTCTCAAACATGTAATCAGAATGTTACTTAATTTCAAATAAGAAAAAAAATGCATTTTTCTATTTAAGGAAGATGATTTAGGTCAAATTTTGTACTGACACTCATTCTTGAACTCTGACCTGTGAAATATTAAGCAAGATCTAAATACTAAAGTTCGTAAAATTTCCTCAATACAAAATACATTTCAGATTGTCTTGTTAAAGATAAACTTGCAGAACTATTAACCCCCAACCCCAATAAAATAGTAAAAGATGCATGGAAAACATTTCAGTGTTAAAAAAAAAAAAAATAAGGGAAATAAAAAAAATAAAAAAAAAAAAAATCAATCAATTTTGAACAGTGTATTTACGAAATAAAGAGTAAAGGTTTTGTGAAAAAAATTAAATCAATCATAAAATAAAGAAATAAAATTTATTAAAAATATTTGTTCAGGTTTTATAAAAAAATAAGTCTGAAAGGAAAATGGCAAGATACACATAAATAAAGTGTAGAACATTTTTTATTTGTTTCTTTCCTCTTAGTTTTTAGCTGCTTTTCAATCCAACAACTGTCAGTCTATGCTGGTAGCAAACAGCCCATATCAGAAATAGAGAAAAGCTTGTCCATGTACATCAGCTGCTTTATCAGTTAAGCTACCAGAAGATCATATCTAACCATTTATTCTTCTCCAATTGAAGAAATATATTAAAACCATTGAGAACAACAAGAAAACTACTACTGAAGGGACATAATATTTAAAGAAAGGAGTAGTAGTAATAGGAGTAGTAGCAGCAGCTGTGATGAAAAGCAACTAAAATTAAAATGAAATTAACAAGAGTCAAAAATGAATAATGGTTGACAATGCTTCATCTAACAAAGATAAAAAAAATGAAAGATAATAAAACAAAACCTTGACTGATTTTGTGAGATACTGCCAGTTTTGTGTTATGTATCATTGCCACATAGAGCACAAGAGGATTTCAAATCTTACATGCAAGGAGATGTCCTTGCCCAGTTTTCCAAAAAGACATTACACTATTAACTGATGTACATTTAATAAGCCAAGATCTCCCTATCAGATCATGACACTAGGTGTTTCTTTCTTTCACACATTGGAGACTCATCAGGACAGAATCCTTCACTAGAGATAATACAAAGTCAAAAGGATCTTGGATTTTTTTTTCAGCCAACCCACCCTACCATTTACTGTTATACCCATGGCAACCATGAAAGAATAATAAAAGAATTTAATAATAAGGGATAACAAATAGCACTTTGACAAAAATTATTTTTTTTTTTTTAGATTAAGAAAAATGAAAATAATTAAAAATAAAATATAATAACCTTTTTGCAAGGAAGCTGGGTTGAGAGATTGAGAGCTACAAGTAACAAATTGGGTTACATTTTGAAAACCCAGAATTTACAAATTTGGAATTGACTTTATATTAGTAGTTTATTTTAACTGATAGACCAAAAAGTCCAAAGTAGTAAAATTTGAAAGTATTGGGCATTCAAAAATAGCCCAATTAGGCAACTCTGTTAAAAACACAAAATATACAGTGTCCCCT